ATGTGAGAGGGAGGTGGCATGTGAGAGGGAGTTGGCATGTGAGAGGGAGTTGGCATGTGAGAGGGAGTTGGCATGTGAGAGGGAGTTGGCATGTGAGAGGGAGTTGGCATGTGAGAGGGAGTTGGCATGTGAGAGGGAGTTGGCATGTGAGAGGGAGTTGGCATGTGAGAGGGGAGTTGGCATGTGAGAGGGAGTTGGCATGTGAGAGGGGAGTTGGCATGTGAGAGGGAGGTGGGATGTGAGAGGGAGTTGGCATGTGAGAGGGAGTTGGCATGTGAGAGGGAGTTGGCATGTGAGAAGGGAGTTGGCATGTGAGAGGGAGTTGGCATGTGAGAGGGAGGTGGGATGTGAGAGGGAGTTGGGATGTGAGAGGGAGTTGGCATGTGAGAGGGAGTTGGCATGTGAGAGGGAGTTGGCATGTGAGAGGGAGTTGGCATGTGAGAGGGAGGTGGCACGTGAGAGGGAGGTGGCATGTGAGAGGGAGGTGGCATGTGAGAGGGAGGTGGCATGTGAGAGGGCGTTGGCATGTGAGAGGGAGTTGGCATGTGAGAGGGAGTTGGCATGTGAGAGGGAAGGTGGCATGTGAGAGGGAGTTGGCAATGTGAGAGGGAGTTGGCATGTGAGTGGGAGTTGGGATGTGAGAGGGAGTTGGCATGTGAGAGGGAGTTGGCATGTGAGAGGGAGTTGGCATCTGAGAGGGAGGTGGGATGTGAGAGGGAGTTGGCATGTGAGAGGGAGTTGGCACGTGAGAGGGAGTTGGCACGTGAGAGGGAGTTGGCATGTGAAGAGGGAGTTGGCATGTGAGAGGGAGTTGGCACGTGAGAGGGAGTTGGCATGTGAGAGGGAGTTGGCATGTGAGAGGGAGTTGGCATGTGAGAGGGAGGTGGCATGTGAGAGGGAGTTGGCATGTGAGAGGGAGTTGGCACGTGAGAGGGAGTTGGCATGTGAGAGGGAGTTGGCATGTGAGAGGGAGTTGGCATGTGAGAGGGAGTTGGGATGTGAGAGGGAGTTGGCATGTGAGAGGGAGTTGGCATGTGAGAGGGAGTTGGCATCTGGAGAGGGAGGTGGGATGTGAGAGGGAGTTGGCATGTGAGAGGGAGTTGGCACGTGAGAGGGAGTTGGCACGTGAGAGGGAGTTGGCATGTGAGAGGGAGTTGGCATGTGAGAGGGAGTTGGCATGTGAGAGGGAGTTGGCATGTGAGAGGGAGTTGGCATGTGAGAGGGAGTTGGCATGTGAGAGGGAGTTGGCATGTGAGAGGGAGGTGGCATGTGAGAGGGAGTTGGCATGTGAGAGGGAATTGGCACGTGAGAGGGAGTTGGCACGTTATAGGGAGTTGGCATGTGAGAGGGAGTTGGCATGTGAGAGGGAGTTGGCATGTGAGAGGGAGTTGGCATGTGAGAGGGAGGTGGCATGTGAGAGGGAGTTGGCATGTGAGAGGGAGTTGGCATGTGAGAGGGAGTTGGCATGTGAGAGGGAGTTGGCATGTGAGAGGGAGTTGGCATGTGAGGGAGTTGGCATGTGAGAGGGAGTTGGCATGTGAGAGGGAGTTGGCATCTGGAGGGAGTGGATGGAGAGGGAGTTGGCATGTGAGAGGGAGTTGGCACGTGAGAGGGAGTTGGCACGTGAGAGGGAGTTGGCATGTGAGAGGGAGTTGGCACGTGAGAGGGAGTTGGCATGTGAGAGGGAGTTGGCATGTGAGAGGGAGGTGGCATGTGAGAGGGAGTTGGCATGTGAGAGGGAGTTGGCACGTGAGAGGGAGTTGGCATGTGAGAGGGAGTTGGCATGTGAGAGGGAGTTGGCATGTGAGAGGGAGTTGGGATGTGAGAGGGAGTTGGCATGTGAGAGGGAGTTGGCATGTGAGAGGGAGTTGGCATCTGAGAGGGAGGTGGGATGTGAGAGGGAGTTGGCATGTGAGAGGGAGTTGGCACGTGAGAGGGAGTTGGCACGTGAGAGGGAGTTGGCATGTGAGAGGGAGTTGGCATGTGAGAGGGAGTTGGCACGTGAGAGGGAGTTGGCATGTGAGAGGGAGTTGGCATGTGAGAGGGAGGTGGCATGTGAGAGGGAGTTGGCATGTGAGAGGGAGTTGGCACGTGAGAGGGAGTTGGCATGTGAGAGGGAGTTGGCATGTGAGAGGGAGTTGGCATGTGAGAGGGAGTTGGGATGTGAGAGGGAGTTGGCATGTGAGAGGGGGTTGGCATGTGAGAGGGAGTTGGCATCTGAGAGGGAGGTGGGATGTGAGAGGGAGTTGGCATGTGAGAGGGAGTTGGCACGTGAGAGGGAGTTGGCACGTGAGAGGGAGTTGGCATGTGAGAGGGAGTTGGCATGTGAGAGGGAGTTGGCATGTGAGAGGGAGTTGGCATGTGAGAGGGAGTTGGCATGTGAGAGGGAGTTGGCATGTGAGAGGGAGTTGGCATGTGAGAGGGAGGTGGCATGTGAGAGGGAGTTGGCATGTGAGAGGGAATTGGCACGTGAGAGGGAGTTGGCACGTTAGAGGGAGTTGGCATGTGAGAGGGAGTTGGCATGTGAGAGGGAGTTGGCATGTGAGAGGGAGTTGGCATGTGAGAGGGAGGTGGCATGTGAGAGGGAGTTGGCATGTGAGAGGGAGTTGGCATGTGAGAGGGAGTTGGCATGTGAGAGGGAGTTGGCATGTGAGAGGGAGTTGGCATGTGAGGAGTTGGCATGTGAGAGGGAGTTGGCATGTGAGAGGGAGTTGGCATGTGAGAGGGAGTTGGCATCTGAGAGGGAGGTGGGGATGTGAGAGGGAGTTGGCATGTGAGAGGGAGTTGGCACGTGAGAGGGAGTTGGCACGTGAGAGGGAGTTGGCATGTGAGAGGGAGTTGGCATGTGAGAGGGAGTTGGCACGTGAGAGGGAGTTGGCATGTGAGAGGGAGTTGGCATGTGAGAGGGAGTTGGCATGTGAGAGGGAGGTGGCATGTGAGAGGGAGTTGGCATGTGAGAGGGAGTTGGCACGTGAGAGGGAGTTGGCATGTGAGAGGGAGTTGGCATGTGAGAGGGAGGTGGCATGTGAGAGGGAGTTGGCATGTGAGAGGGAGTTGGCACGTGAGAGGGAGTTGGCATGTGAGAGGGAGTTGGCATGTGAGAGGGAGTTGGCATGTGAGAGGGAGTTGGGATGTGAGAGGGAGTTGGCATGTGAGAGGGAGTTGGCATGTGAGAGGGAGTTGGCATCTGAGAGGGAGGTGGGATGTGAGAGGGAGTTGGCATGTGAGAGGGAGTTGGCACGTGAGAGGGAGTTGGCACGTGAGAGGGAGTTGGCATGTGAGAGGGAGTTGGCATGTGAGAGGGAGTTGGCATGTGAGAGGGAGTTGGCATGTGAGAGGGAGTTGGCATGTGAGAGGGAGTTGGCATGTGAGAGGGAGTTGGCATGTGAGAGGGAGGTGGCATGTGAGAGGGAGTTGGCATGTGAGAGGGAATTGGCACGTGAGAGGGAGTTGGCACGTTAGAGGGAGTTGGCATGTGAGAGGGAGTTGGCATGTGAGAGGGAGTTGGCATGTGAGAGGGAGTTGGCATGTGAGAGGGAGTTGGCATGTGAGAGGGAGGTGGCATGTGAGAGGGAGTTGGCATGTGAGAGGGAGTTGGCATGTGAGAGGGAGTTGGCATGTGAGAGGGAGTTGGCATGTGAGAGGGAGTTGGCATGTGAGGGAGTTGGCATGTGAGAGGGAGTTGGCATGTGAGAGGGAGTTGGCATGTGAGAGGGAGTTGGCATCTGAGAGGGAGGTGGGATGTGAGAGGGAGTTGGCATGTGAGAGGGAGTTGGCACGTGAGAGGGAGTTGGCACGTGAGAGGGAGTTGGCATGTGAGAGGGAGTTGGCATGTGAGAGGGAGTTGGCACGTGAGAGGGAGTTGGCATGTGAGAGGGAGTTGGCATGTGAGAGGGAGTTGGCATGTGAGAGGGAGGTGGCATGTGAGAGGGAGTTGGCATGTGAGAGGGAGTTGGCACGTGAGAGGGAGTTGGCATGTGAGAGGGAGTTGGCATGTGAGAGGGAGTTGGGATGTGAGAGGGAGTTGGCATGTGAGAGGGAGTTGGCATGTGAGAGGGAGTTGGCATCTGAGAGGGAGGTGGGATGTGAGAGGGAGTTGGCATGTGAGAGGGAGTTGGCACGTGAGAGGGAGTTGGCACGTGAGAGGGAGTTGGCATGTGAGAGGGAGTTGGCATGTGAGAGGGAGTTGGCATGTGAGAGGGAGTTGGCATGTGAGAGGGAGTTGGCATGTGAGAGGGAGTTGGCATGTGAGAGGGAGTTGGCATGTGAGAGGGAGGTGGCATGTGAGAGGGAGTTGGCATGTGAGAGGGAATTGGCACGTGAGAGGGAGTTGGCACGTTAGAGGGAGTTGGCATGTGAGAGGGAGTTGGCATGTGAGAGGGAGTTGGCATGTGAGAGGGAGTTGGCATGTGAGAGGGAGGTGGCATGTGAGAGGGAGTTGGCATGTGAGAGGGAGTTGGCATGTGAGAGGGATTTGGCATGTGAGAGGGAGTTGGCATGTGAGAGGGAGTTGGCATGTGAGAGGGAGTTGGCATGTGAGAGGGAGGTGGGATGTGAGAGGTCAGCAGGACACACACACCCACACCCCCCCACCCCACACAAACCACCACACACACACACCCACACCCCACCATCCCACACACATCACCACACACAACCACACACACACACCCACACCCCTCCACCCCACACACACCACCACACTCACAACCACACACACACACGCCCACACTCCCCCACCCGACACACTCCACCACACACACAACCACACACACACACACATACCCCCCACCCCTCACACACCACCACACACACACCCACCCACATACACCTCCACACACACACTCACACACACACACACACAGACACAGACACAAGCACACCTTTTCACACACACACACGCACCCCTCCCCCCCGCACATCCCCACATACACACAACCACACACCCACCGACATACACACACCTGTACACACACCCCCACACCCATCCCCACGCCCACCTGCACAATGACGGCCACAATGAAGGGCCCGAGCCACGAGGAGCCCTTGTCGCTGACAGAGTAGAGCGAGAAGAAGGCGCCCTCGCGGCCCACTGGGATCATGTCGATGAAGAGCGTGCGCGAGTACGACGACAGCGGCCCCAGCAGCACCCCGAACCACCCTGCAAACACGTACAGCTCCCACGTGGACTTGAGCCCGAAGCCCCCGTCCGGGGTGAGGTAGCCGATAAGCCCCCAGAGGGGCAGCGGCAGCATCCCCGCTATAAGCAGGCACACCATGGCCTTGTTGTGCAGGTTGGTGGCGCGCTGCAGCCAGAAGGCAAGCGGCGTGCCGGCCACAGCGAAGAGGAAGACGCAGCAGGCGAGGAGGACAGTGGCAGGCGTGGAGAGGCAGAGGTTTCGCTGGCCGAACAGCACCCCGATCTGCATGATGGTGGTGTACCCGTCTGCGTACACGAAGTAGCACACGAGAAATGCGAACGCGTTGCGGTAGCGGCGGGCTTCTGAGAGCAGAGCAGCAAGGTGGTGCCAGCCGGAGAGCAGGCGGAAGGGAGAGCCTGGGGGGAGCGCGGGGCCAGGGCGGGCCTTGAGGAAGACGAAGGTGGGCAGCGCGAGGAGCAGCCACCAGGCGCCGCAGAGGAAGAGCGCAAGGCGGAGTTTGAGGTCGGGCGAGGAGGAGAGGAGCGTGGCGGCGAGGGCGAGCAGCGTGACCACGATGGACGCCACGCTGGCACACGCCACCGCTGTGAGGGACAGACGGTTCTCCACCTGGTGATGGGATGGCAGTGCGAGCGGTGGGGTTGAGGATCATGGATGGGCGCATGCGATGACACAGCAGAAACACGATGACCCACAGGACATGCGATGCCACAGGGGACTCCACCTGCTGTCACCCCACCTGCTCTCTCATCTCCACCACTGCCTGCACTGGCATGGAGCCATGCCACCTCACTCCATGTGCTTGAACCTCCCCTCACCCCATAATATCACCCCATGACATCACCCCGTGGCATCACCGCATGTCCCCCTCCTCCCCCCCACCTGCTCGCGCATCTCCACCACGGCCTGCACGGGCAGCCCCGCCGCCTCTGCCTGCTGCACCTCGGGCGACGCGTCCACCAGCACCGCCAGGTAGCTGGGGGACACGCACAGGAGGGAGAGGGGGGGAGAAGAGGGGGATAAGGTGGGAGGGTTGGAATGGGGAGGGGAGAAGAGGTGGAGAGTGTGGCACGTCAGGAGACGCGTCCAGCAGCATGGGGGAGAAGAGGATGGGAGGGAGAAGAGCGGCGGAGGATGGGCCGCTGGGGTTGATTGTGGGAGCAGCTAAGAGAGGGCGGGCGTTGTGAGCAACTAGGGCATTTGGGGTGAGTGAGTGGAGTATTCGTGTTGCACTCACCTGTAGTAGGCAACGGCGGCCATGCCGTAGCCCACAGTGGATACGATTGGCAGCAGGGCTGCAAGCAACCAGGGGGAAGCAGAGGCGGGTAAATGTTTTAGGCACGTCAAGCATAGGAGGTTACCTGTAATATGCGACGGTGGCGATGCCGTAGCCCACGTTGGCGAGGATGAGCAGCAGCGCTGCGAGCCACCAGAGCGCCGGCGAGGCGAGGGCCAGGCACAGCACGCAGGCTGCTGCCCCCATGTACGTGCCCACTTGCAGCAGCTGGGGGGGGGTTGGGAGGGGCGATGAAACGGGCATGGCAGGAAGAATGGGGGATCCAGCAGGCCAGGCAGAGCAGGCACGCCCCTGCCCCCATGTGCGCGCACACTTGCAGCAGCTGCCAGGGGAGGGAGGAATGTGGACTGGTAGTGGGCGACGAGCGAGGAGCGAGAGTGAGGCATCGGACGAAACAGTGGCGGCGATATATGTGAGCCCACTTGCAGCAGCTGGGAGGGGTGCAGGAAAGCGAGTACGCTGCGAGAAAAGGGAAAGAGAGATAGAATGGGCTAGACTAACTGCGTGCAGAACCGAAGAAACCTGTGGTGCAGGCATGCTCCCCCTGCCACTGCGGAGGTCGTGATGGTACACCATGACAGACCACACACTGTATGGCATGGCATCGGTACGGTACGGAATGGCATGGCATGGCATGGCATGATATGGTGGGGACAGCACAGAGCGACAGGGAAGACAGCAGGGGACGGCAGCGGTCGTGCCTCATTCCCAGCCTCACCGCCACCTTCCCATCCCCTTCTTCCCGCACACCCTTTCCTCCCACCCCCTTTCAAATACTTCCTGCTTCTCAACCCCCCCGATCCCCCCTTCCCCCTCTCCCCATCGCCCATCCTCTCCTCCCTTTGCCCATCCTCTCCTCCCTTTGCCTATCCTCTCCTCCCTTTGCCCATCCTCTCCTCCCTTTGCCTATCCTCTCCTCCCTTTGCCCATCCTCTCCTCCCTTTGCCCATCCTCTCCTCCCTTTGCCCAGTCTCACCTCCTTCCTGCCTCTCCCAAAGTCTGCCAGCGGTCCCACGCTGACGAAAGCAACGACTTCGAAGATCACGGACACGCCCAGCATGGCCGTCGCGAACGACACCGGGTTGATGCTCGCGCCGCCTGCCAGAGGGATGTCTGGGAGCGGAGCCTCGGTGTAGCTGAGGGGATAAGGTGGGAGCAGGGGGGGATGTAGGGGGAGTGGTGGGGGGGGAGAAGGGGGTCCAGTTTTCCGACAGGCCCAGCATGGTCGTGAAGGGAGGGGGTGTTGAAGATGACGGACACGCCCGGCACGGCCGTGGCGGACAACACGCGGTTGATTCCGGTGCCTCCCAATGGGGGGCAGCCCGCCTGGGTGCTGCACTTCAGTGCAGCGGCATGTGGGGGGCGAGTGGTTGCGGGGGGAGGGCTGTAGCGAATGACAGGGGGTTGCTGCTGCTGTGGCCCACCAGGGGTGTTGGCAGGTGGTGTGGTGCCTCTGTTGACATGTGGGGTGCGAGCGAGAGAGGGCTGTTGCGAATCTAAAGAGACGCGTGGGAAGCGGAGTGAGAGAAGTATCATTCTATTGTCACAGGGATCGACGGTCCTACCATCAAAGAGACGCAGCGCGATGCTGCGGGTGCTGGGGGGAAAGCGGCCCAGCGGCGCACGCGTCCAGGTCAACCGGGTGCTTCAACAGAGGCAGCCCGCTCATGTCCCTCCAACCATGATTCCGCTGCAATGCCCCTTGCGCTCATTCTCCGTGCAGCGCCAGCCAGGCCCGCCCACCACCTCGTGACTCAACCCCCCCCTGGCCTACCTCACCAACGCCCACCCTCACGGCGCTCATGCCAGCGCCCGCACCCATCACTCCAATGAGTTCCACGCGCGGGGGAGGGAAACCGCACGCCCTCTCGCCCCCCACCTCGCTCGCCCTCACCCGCTCCCCTGCTTCCCAATTCCTTACCCCGCTGACGTCAGCAGCTGCGTGCCTTTCCCCGGCACGCACTGCAGGCAGTCGCTCGTGACCTCCCCGCCGCACGCGGGGGGCTGCTGCGACCCGGACTGCTGCCACGCGAACTCGGACCCGAGCGCGACGAGCAGCAGCGGGAAGAAGATGGGGAGCGCGGCGGAATAAAAGGCGGCGACCGCCGCGTCGTAGCCGTACCACGCCCAAATCTCGCGCCGCCCCGCGGGGGCCGCGCGCGAGCTCTCCCCGTCGATCTCCATCGCCGCGAACCCCCCAGGCGCCATCGCCGCGCCGGTTGACGGAGCGGCGTCTTCCGTCGGATTCTGACGGCGCTTGTCTGACGGAAGACGTCAGGTGGCGGCGCGCAGCGGGCGCGGGAACGGCGCCCGCAGTAGCGGGATTGAAGGCGCGGCGGGTATGGCGATGGGGTGGTGCGCGGGGCGGGAGTGGCGGGAGGATGGTGGAAATGGTTGGGTTGTCGGAATTGGCAGCAAATCCCACTCGAGGGTGGGGACAGCAGCTAGGCTGGTTGGTGTCGTGCTTGTAGCGGGGTTGGGGGTGGTGAAGCGGAAGCGAACCTCCAATCATAAAGTGTATGATAATCGTAACTGATTTCCAGCTTATTCAGAATGTTCAATAGGATGATGATTTTTTGGGTTGCGTAGCAACCCTATAAAATCGGTTTCACATTTCGGAGCATTAATATGAACAGTAAATTTTAAGAATTTAGTTAACTGTTCGATGCAACTCCAAAATATGAATCCGAAATGTCCAAAGTGCTCCATCGCGTCGATAAGTGCGGCGGATGGAACAATTATCAAACCTAGAGGCCCAGGAGGGGCGCGATGTGAGAGAGAGAGTACACAAACATATACCTAAATGTTGTACTCTCTAGAAGGTGACCCTATACAGTCTATACAAACATGATAACTACACATGTTTGACACACCCCCTGGACTGCATAGGGGAATGTTCTAGACAAGTAGCTCAGGGTGGCACTACTAGTCCAGCCTCTGAGACAAGGGTCTAAAAGACCAGTCAGAAGGAGTACAGACAAGGCAAGAACGAGTACAGGGCGGCACTACTAGTCCAACCACTGTGAGAGGACACAAGTCCAGTCTGAGTGTATACATATATATATATACGACAGTACAAAGTCAAGGCCCGAGTAAGTGAGAGACTACAGGAACCAGACCAAGCTGTAAACAGTGCCGCTGATGATCTTGAGGCGCAAGCGCCTTCGTAAAGATATCAGCTGTGTTGGCACCGGAGGCCAAGTGTACTACGCGAGCCTGGCGCCGCTGCTGTAGCTCGCGCAGGAGGAAGTACCGCAGCTGGATGTGCTTCGCTCTGCCCTCGAGTCGAGGCTCCTGACACAGGAGAATCATGGCCCTATTGTCAGCGTACAGGACCGGGGCAGAGCTAGGCCGCTCACCTAAGTCAGTGAGCAAGAAGGTCAGCCAGCGGAGCTCCTGTGCCGCCATGGCACCGGCGTAGATCTCAGCCTCACAGCTGGACTGGGCAACCGACGAGGAGCGGGTAGCTCTCCACGAGACAGCACCTGAGCCAAGGCTAAAGCAGTAGCCCTGGGAAGACCTGAGCGTCTCGGCGTCGTCTGCCCAAGAAGCGTCTGTGTGTCCAGTAAGGACCACTGGCCTGCGTCCGCCTAGCACTAACCCCATGCCCGATGTACTTACAAGATAACGCAAAACCCTCTTAGCGGCAGACCAGTGCTGAGGTCGGTGTCTGCCTGTGGCCACAAAACGAGCCAGGATGCTGAGAGGGTATGCGAGATCTGGGCGAGTGCAAGTCATCAGGTACATGAGGCAACCCACTAGCTCAGCGTAAGGACCACTGGGATCTACCGACTCCTCAGGAACTGGAGCGGAGAGTCTGTGGTCCAGAGGAAGAGGGGTGGGCTGTGCGGAGGAGAACTGAAGGCCGAACCTCTGAAGGACCTGGCGCACCAAGTGTGACTGAGTCAGGGTGATGGTGCGCGCGGCTCTGTCCCTAGAGATCTGCAAGCCAAGGTAACGGCGCAGCTCTCCAAGGTCAGTGCAGGTGTGTCTCTTCAGCAGCTCTGCCTTCACGGAGGCCAGTGCGTCCCTGTCAGCTGTGGCAAAGACCAGGTCGTCTACGTAGACGAGGATGTAGAACGGAGTCGAGCCAGCACGAACGAAGAGCGAGGGGTCTGCAGAGGACGGAAAGAACGGCAGGTCAGCAAGAGTAGCACGCAGCGTGTCGTGCCACTCACGAGGCGCCTGGCGCAGGCCGTAGACTGGGCGCCGCAGAAGCCACTGGGTCCCAGGGGGGAAGGTGCCAGTAAAGCCCTGAGGACGACGCAGGTAGACCTGCTCGTGAAGGCTGCCCTGAAGAAAGGCAGTGGAGAAGTCGAGGGAGTGAAGCTCGTAGTCACGCTGAGCCGCTACGTGTAGCAGAACCCGAAGAGTAGTCATCTTCGGGGTAGGAGCGAAAGTCTGAAAGAAGTCCACCCCCTCGCGCTGACTGAAGCCTCTAGCCACGTAACGCGCCTTGAACACAGGCGGCTCTCCAGGAGGGCGCTTCACCTTGAAAAGCCAACGGCCATCGACCACGTTCACCCCAGGTGGGGGAACTGCGTCGACGAAGGTGCCGGTGGATCTCCAAGATGCCATCTCCTGCTCCATGGCAGCTATCCACTGAGAGGCCCAAGGTCCCGAAACCGCCTCAGCGTAAGTACGAGGGGTCGGGATGTCAAAAGCGTCTGGGTCACCCTCAGGGACTAGCAGCATGGAACAGAGATGGGGAGCAGCCTCGGACAGGAAAGCAAGCTCGAACTGGCGGTCCTCCAGGACGTCACTGCCGAGGGCAGGAGCACCCCCGACAGACGGAGGACAGGCAGGGTCAGAGACCAGAGCGGAGGCGTAGTCAAGGCGGCGGGTAGAGGCGAAGTCAGCGACCGCAGCGACAAGGGCGTCAAGACTCGACACTGGAACAGACGGGTCGGTAACGAGAGAGGCAAGGACCCGAGGAACAAGAGGACGAGCGGCACGAAAGTAGTCAGACAGAGGAGGAGACGCAACGACAAGAGAGGACGGAGGAGGAGACGGGAGGAGGGGAGGACGAGACGCGTGGGAGCGGAGCAACATAGGGTGAGTGCGCGGGACGGGGGAGACAGGACGAGCACGGGAGGGGCGGCGAGACCAGACGTGAGAGGGCGGCGTCGGGTCAGGAGACAGAGGAGGGGACACGGGTGGGGAACGAGGGGGAAAACGAGCCGGGGACGAGCCCGGCGGAGGGAACACAGGGCCGTAGACGGGAAGAGGGGGAGACGGCCGGGGAGGAACAGGCGCAGGGGCGGAGGGGCCCAGGAGGGGCGCAATGGGGGCCCAGGAGGGGCGCTACGGGCCCAGGAGGGGCACTACGGGCCTAGGAGGGGCGCGACGGGGCCTGGGAGGGGCACGACGGGGCCCAGGAGGGGCGCTACAGGGCCCAGGGAGGGCGCGACGGGTCCCAGTAGGGGCGCTACGGAGCCCAGGAGGGGCGCGACGGGGCCTGGGAGGGGCGTTACGAAGACCAGGAGGGGCGCTACGAAGCCCAGGAGGGGCGCGACGAGGCCCAGGAGGGGCGCTACGGGGCGCTACGGGGCCTGTGAGGAGCGCGACGGGGCCCAGGAGGGGCGCTAAGGGGCGCGACGGGGCCCTGGAGGGGCGCTACGGGGCCCAGGAGGGGCGCGAAGGGGCGCGACGGGGCCCTGGAGGGGCGCTACGGGGCCCAGGAGGGGCGCTAGGGGGCGCGACGGGGCCCAGGAGGGGCGCTACAGAGCCCTGGAGGGGCGCGACGGGGGCCTGGAGGGGCGTTACGAAGCCCTGGAAGGGGGGCACGACGGGGCCTGGAGGGGCGCTACGAGGCCCTGGAAGGGGCGCGACGGGACTAGGGGGAGGGCTCGCGACTGGGCTCAGGAGGGGCGAGGCGAGGCTAGGAGACGCGACGGGAGGAGCGGAAGCGGTAGGTGGGGGGGGGGGGGGGGGGGGGGGGTCGAAACCTACTCGTGATACCATATCAAACCTAGAATTGAATAATGTGAGAGAGAGAGTACACAAACATATACCTAAATGTTGTACTCTCTAGAAAGTGACCCTATACAGTCTATACAAACATGATAACTACACATGTTTGACAACAATCAGACCGCATGACACATTTCAACAAATTATTATGTATAATTAAACATTCTGTAGGATTGCAAATGACAGGAAACGAGTGCATATAGGCATTAATAGTGTTGCAGTAGAGATTGATGGGGTGCACGATGACAGCGGAACTGCCCCGAACACGATGACAATCTCTAATTGCAACAACTAGCCAATAAGCAGCACGCTCGGGGCAAACGCAATCCAAACACACCTCGTGCCAGCCACCACATCTCGTCGATACATACAGTGATGGAGTGAACATGCAAGTACGATAGGATTGTGAGTGCAACGAAACGTTTGCATATATGCGTCAATGCTGCAACAGAGATTGATGGGGTGCGCAATGACAACAGAGTTGCCCCACGCACGATGACAACCTCAAATTGCAACACCTTGCATATAAGCAGCACATCCGAAGCAGACACAATCCACGCCTTATCACATTTGCTGCCACACGCACTATGCACATGGGGACTAGGAGCAGCAGGCACACCCCGAAACAGACAGTATTTATCAAACCCATACACACCCCTCAAATGCAAACAACAATCAAACAAACACATGCACCATCGCAAATAGCCTAATAGTTGGAGTTCCCAATATCCAAATTAGAGAACAGTGGTAACGCCGTGCAATCGGAAATCTGTCCCTGCAAGATGTTCCAACAAGCAATAGAAATTGGTGTTGGAAGATGTTCTTCGTCTTGCGGCTGCAACAGACAGCGCGTGCTGTACGACCTGCACAGTACACCAGTGAATCATAGAAACACAACATACGTTCAAAAGTGGACCACAAAATTTGTTTATATGCACTTATGGTGTTGGATATTGCGTTTGGGGTTTCAGGTTTGGTGCGGAACATGGGATGAAACTCAGAAATATAAAAAAACGAGAGTAGGCAAAACTCACGCCGACCACATTGATTTCTTACGACAGTAAATAAGACAGTAAACAGCCAGACATTCTATGCCCATACATGCATACAGCCATGCATGCTATGCCCATACATGCATACAACTAGGTATGCTATGCCCATACACACATGCAGCCAGGCATGCTATGCCCATACACACATACAGCTAGCCATGCCATCCCCATACACACAATCAGCCTGGCATGCTATCCCCATACATGCATACGGCCAGGCACGTTATGCACATACACGCATACAACTAGGCATGCCATGCCCATACACACACACAGCCAGGCATTCTACGCCCATACATGCATACATCCATGCATGCTATGCCCATACATGCATACAACTAGGTATGCTATGCCCATACACACATACAGCCAGGCAT